GCATCAATGATAAAGAGACCTGTAGGAAATCTTACTAGCGTGCTGAGGAGCTAGTTCTCCCTTGAACATAAAAGCTTCAATGACTCAGCACATTAAAGAGTCACAGCACATGGCTTCACAAATAATGAGAAAGGAAAAGAAGACTAACAGCCCATAATCCAAAGCAGTAAATCATTAACTAGCAGACTATGACAAATCAGCCCAACTCGGCATATAAACCCATCGGCTTCCTTCAAAAGCATCTTCAAGCTGCAGCCTGAAGGAGGAGACTTTCCCAGTCCTTATTCTGACCACAGAAACATGACTTTGAGGCTTTGCTCTGCCTGGATTTTCATCCTCCTCCTTCCTGGCCTCTCAGATGGAGGGAAACTCCTGGTATTGCCCATGGATGGAAGTCACTGGCTTAGCATGCAGCCACTGGTTGAAAAGCTCAGCGAGAGAGGACATGAAGTGGTGGTGCTTATACCAGAAGTAAGCTGGCGTATGAGAGCGGCACAGACCTACACAGTGAAAGCATTCCCGGTGTCTTACACACTAGAAGACTTGGATAATCTCTTCTTTGAGTACGTTTCCACTCACCTGAAGGACCTGCCTTTCCCACTGAACACCCTAGCAATATACAACATCTCAGTACGTATTTCCCATCTGATGTTTACTCAGTGCAGGAACCTATTCAGCAACAAGGAGCTCCTTCAGTACGTGAATCAAAGCAGATTTGATGCTATCCTAACAGACCCCATCTTTATGTGCGGACCACTGGTGGCTCAATATTTTTCTCTTCCATATGTGTTCTTTATGAGAGGATTTCCTTGCAACTTACACTATGATGCTCCGCGGTGCCCAAGTCCTCTGTCCTACATACCCAGGCTATTTACCTTCAACTCCGACCAAATGACTTTCTTTCAGAGAGTGGAAAATGCACTGATTTACCTCCTGGAGCCTGCGTACTGTAACGGTTTCTATGAAATAGCACTAAAGTTTGCTTCTGAAGTTCTTCAGAGAGATGTATCCCGCATAGACTTCGTGGACTCTGCTTCCATTTGGCTTCTGAGATTTGACTTTGTATTTGAGTACGTCAGACCTGTGATGCCCAATATGGTCTTTATTGGAGGCATAAACTGCGCCCAGAGGAAACCACTGCCTAAGGTATGGGTTTTATACCTCCAAATCATACGTTTGCAATGAAATGTGATGATGTCCTTTCTGGAACTTCAGGGGGTTTGATGTATTTTATTTTCTTTCATATTATTTATTTATGTATAATGATTTAAAACAACCAGGATTTTGCAGTTGTTTTCCGCAGTCTGAAATCAAATTACCTTGATGGAGGCAGATAACTTCTGTGAATTAATAGGGATTTTCTGAGAAGTCCAACAAAAAATGGGCTTCATCTAGCATTCATCTACTGTATATTATTCATTAACCAGGTTTTGATTTCATTTTCATGGAGCCTGACTTATATTTCTTTCACCTGACTGTAAACCTAATGACCATGATCTGGGAACTGGATTTTGGTTTTCATTCTAGGCTCAGCAAAGTCAGTTAATTTGCTTTGGTTGTGGTTTTATGGCATATGGTTTCCAAACTGTCTGTCTATGTTGAGTTATGTCTGTTTGTAGATCACACTGAAACATAAATGTCGTGTTGAAATGGGAAAAATTAATCTCAAATAGTGAAAAGGTGAAAGACACTTGCATGCAAAACTCAAAGAAATTTTCATACCTCTTCCTTGACTTTTGCTTTTATCAGAATTGTTCTGCAGGGTTTGTAAAGCTAATAGAGAAATTTAAATCTCTTTTGACAAAATCTCTTTAAATACTTACTTTATAGTCTCTAAACCAATACGTAGCATTCGACATTTCTTTCCAGGGACAAAGCAGAACATACTCCCTTCTGAACAGGCATCACACAGTATCATTGCACAGTTGCAGTACAGTATATTTGAGCTCAAGGGCTTTGTCTACTATCAGATTTCTTTTATACTCTTCAACAGACCTGTGCAGAGCCCACTGCAATCAGTAAAGAGCAAGTCAAATGAAGAATAATATTATAAATTGGAATATTAGAGCAATATTAGAAGGCATTCTCTCACCTTAGGCTCAAAAGTGGCACTTTGTAGTTTGTGATCTAAGAGGCAAATTCTTGCCGGTTACGTGACAGAAATCTCTATGTCCTGAAGGTCTCTGAGCTGCAAACATTTTGTAAGCTTGCTACATGGGCAGAGCATTCCTGTCCTTCTTGTATAGCTGGCATTTCATACTAACACATGTCATTTGGTGGAAATCACATTTTCCAAACCTGGACAAACCTTGTGTGTTCCCCTTATCTTCACCCTGCCCTTTCCTACCTATATTTTCTACAGACAGCAGAGAAATTCCTCCTATTTCACTTGGAACAGTGCCCAGCAACAAGGCAATAACACAGTGCAAACAAATGTGAAGTGAGTCATACGGGAGAACAAAACCAGCTTCTTCCTACACAGTGGCAAGCCTTGGGTTGGTCCTTACTGTTCAGAAATCTAATCCTGTGATAACAGGAGATAGTTCTTCAAAACCTGGTAGCCCATTGTTCAACAGACAACCTCCCTTCCCCCGCCCCCCCCAAAAGACAGCATGGCTGGGAAAGGGAGAGAGAACTGGAGATTCAAAATGAGGTGTCTTTTGTCACATGAGGAGCTTATTCCATGTTAGATACAGCAGAAGGAGGGCTCCTTTATGCTGCATCTGACATGGAATACCTACTGTAGAGCTGAAAGGCAGCAGGGTGCTGAGGAGCTGATGCTTTTGCAGAACTGGGCATATGTGTTTTATCCAGCATAGAGCTGGGAATTCAATCCCAAGGTGTCTGACCCTATTGAGTCATAAGTATGGTCCATAGCCTGCAGTCTCACAGGGGGTGGGAGAACATGCCACCACATGAGCCAGCGGGAGCTCACTGACTGAGGTAACCACAGCGGGTGGATCAGGCTGTATTTCCTCTTGTATTTCCACTTTGCACAGTAGCAATTACGTATTCATTAACAGACACCGAAATCCAGTTGCCAAGTGTGGCTGGAGGCTTCATACAGGGCATGGAGGATATCAGACAGAATATCTTGGCTGAGCAGAGGTCCTGTGCCAGTGTCATCCTCTAATGACTCCAGAAGTAGCTGAAGGCTGGCATAGAAAGCAGTCCCTCCTTAGGGGAACATTGCAAATGAACTTGGACTATGAGCCCTGAGACACCTTGATGAATATCTCATCCTTATCCAAAGTGAATTCATAGTTGCTTTCTGACAGCTCATAAAACAAAGTCCATGTGATTTGATCAAAGCAAAGTTCGGAAATGTCACCTATAGCAACATTTCAAAGTTGTTCCTGGCTTGTTTGGTTGATTTCTTTAACCTAAAACACCCATTACTTATTTAAACAACTGATAAACTTTAAACCTTAAAACAACCCTGGATTTAAATAAGTAGTTACTCAAGTAAAGGGGAGGTGTCATTGAATAAAACCCTCTAGTTTGTTCGTCCAACACAAGGATTAAGAAAACAGGCCATGTTCTACAGCCAGAACTTTGCTCTGCTCATGAACCAAATACGAGGGTCATTTGGCAGGGGGCGGCAATATTCAAGTTTTTGATGAATGTAGTGGCAGTTCAGAGCAGCCTGATATCAACCACATCAGCATCCGTTTGTGACGCTTCTGTTAAGGATGTTGAGCACGTTTAAAGCTAACAATGCTGCTCGTCTGTCTTATATTGCAATGTTTTGATAACATGGTTTAATGTGAGGTTCCCCTGCCCATGGCAGGCCAATTGGAACTAGATGATCTTAAGGTCCTTTCCAACCCTAACTATTTTATGATTTTATGATTCTACTTGTTCCTGCTTGCAAGAACCAGAGCTTAAGGTGGTGAGCAATCTAACAACAAAAGAACAAATCCAGTACATGACAATAACCCTTACAGGCTGCCTCAACAAACAGTTTGCTCATATAACATTCCTCTTACCTTAGTGCCACTCACTGTTTGCTGCTCAGGTTAAAAGATATCCACACTTCACCATCAAGTCCAACTCAGAGATAAGCAGTTTGAGAGACTCTTCCAGCTGGAGCAATCACAGGGGGAAGAGTAAGCACACCTGCACTTAAACCCTTCAACATGGTTATGGCTTATAGTCTCAATTCCTCAGAGCTGCTTGCATGACAGTGGAGAGCTGATGCATAGCTGCAACACTCCTTGCCATCTCAAACAGACACCTGGAATAACCCACACAAGGTTTATCACAAAGGATACTTTTAACAGCAAAATGAATGTGCAGTCTTGGGTCACTCAAGCTTCAATCTTGTTTATGTCCTTCAGTGTCCAGGGAGGAAGCCTTTCCTCCAAGCTGGCACATAGCTGTCCCTCTCTGAGACCTCATGTAATAAACTGCTCTGGTGCTCATCTGCACACACAACATTCTTCAATACTAGAAGTGGTTCAGGTGCCTTCTGCTCCTGCGTAATGAACAGCAAACACTTGTAAGCCTACCTTGGTAGCTGTGATATATGAGTAAGACATGCAGGTTTGACTACTTCCAGGGGGTGGGAATATAACATCAGCCTTCTACATAGTGGTTAGGTATTCTCAGTTAGGCTAGGCCAGGCCATAAAAGAAATGGTGTTGCAATTTCCATTTATTCTACTCTGTATATTTTAAAGGTTGCTTTTTGAAATCAAAACCAGGCTTATTTGCTCACTGGGTCCTTACCAAGTCAATGGTATTAACCACAACTCTTCCTACAAGATAACATTCCTCATCTTAGTTCCATGAAGGAGGCGATGTCCTGCCATACTTCCAAGCTTAAAAATTAACAGAGTAGAAAGGAGGGCATCTTTTTTTCTAAGAACAGTGTGCTCACCTTCCCTGTTATATGAGCAGTTGCATCACTGAAGGCTTACCACAGCAATATTAGGAAGTTAAATATTTATCCCTACCATCAATAAATTCCCTTGCAAGGACCTTCATATAGAAGACTGCATTGGATACCTCTAGAGCAGAGCTCTCTGGTTTCCTTCCACCAAAATGGCTCTTCCATTCCAGTGTTTCTACCAACATACTGGGATATTTCTTCTTCTGATTTCATCTTTAACCTTTGCTGAAGGTGGAAAGATACTGGTGATACCTCAGGATGGAAGTCACTGGCTCAGCATGCGCCCAGTAGCGGCAAAACTCCACCAAAATGGACATGAAGTTGTTGTGGTTGTTCCATCAACAAGTTTGCATCTGAAGCCAAAGGAGCCTCAGAATTACACAGTGAAAGTATATCCAATGCCTTACACAGAGGACCATTTAGCTATGGCGCTCAAATCTTTTATTGATGCCCATTTTATTGAACAATCTTTTTTGAATATGATTATTGCAATGTACCAAAGCATCTTAGAAATATCCAAGTATTTTTTCAGCAACTGTAAGAGCCTCTTGCTCAACAAAGACATGATGCAGTATCTGAGAGAGAGCAAATTTGAGGTAGTTTTGACGGATCCAACTCAGATGTGCGGACCCTTAATTGCTGAGCATCTTTCAATTCCTTCTGTCTACTTTCTGCGTGGATTTCCTTGTGGTATGGATTCTGATGCCACCCAGTGTCCAAGCCCTCTTTCCTACGTTCCCAGGTTATTCCTCAATAATTCAGATAACATGACATTTACTCAACGGGTAAAGAACGTGCTAGTCCGTATGCTGGAGTTCTTTTACTGTAAGCCTTTCTTTGCTCAGTTTGAAGAACTTTCAGCTGAGGTTTTCCAGAACAAAGTGTCAACTGCAGAACTTCTAAGCCGTGGATCTGTTTGGCTGATGAGATACGACTTTGTGTTTGAGTTCCCGAGACCAGTGATGCCCAACATGGTTTTTATCGGAGGAATAAACTGTGATCAGAAGAAAAATCTCTCTCAGGTATTTATCTTGTTTCTATTCAAAAGGCAAGAACAGAAGTGTTTAAGCAACCTTACATCAAAACCTAACTGGCAACCACTTGGTATTTAAAGGTAGAAAACTAATGAGAAATCCTACATAATGCAGAAAGGTTATTTCCTAGTATCCAGCATTCAAGTGATATCATATCCTGGCAAACATAAGCCTTATCAGATGTGAGAATTTAAGTGACATCTAACTTTAATGCAAATAATAAGCTCTCTTGTTGAACTGAAGCTCACCCCAATTGTGGTGAGATGCAAATTTTCCTCCCCAACAGAAGCCAGATTTGTTAGCTTCCATTTCATCTCAGTTTCTTATGCCATAAGCATCTCTGGAAGAGCTGTCCTTGCGACCAAAGCCAGTCTCAGAAGACATAGCTGTATTGCTCTGAAAGAGTAGCCTGAGGAACACCTGTAAGCACTGTCTGCTCTCTGTCTGCCACATGGTGTCCTCCTTTCCCAGCTCTCTCATGAGCTGTCCATTCATACTTCCATATAGTCATTCTCCTTTCACCCACATCGAAGATTATAGGACTTAAGATTTTAGCTTTTCATCTTGTAGCTAGTTCTTTTTCTGTCACCCAGATTGATTCATTTACACCTACGTCAAGGGGTCAGTATCTAACCCCCAAGTTGTATCCCTCCATACTTTTATTGGTTATTTAATTAGGTTGTAAGCTTTCCTGGGTATGGATGTCTTCTGTAAATTCCCATTGGGTTTTTGGGTACGAACCAGGTCTCCAAATCAAATACAGCATATCCTATAGCAGCTCAAAAGCAGGAAAGGGATATTCAAGTATTGCAAATTGTGAGTATCCCTAAAAGAGAGTAGTGTGGAAGAAAGCCCTAACACCCTCCCCTTTTGTCCAGATAAGTATGTTTAGTGCTGTTTGAAGTGTCAGAGCCAACCCTCTTACCAGGACAGTCTCTGGTGCTACTTAGTTCACCCTAGCTGTTCAAATGAAGGACAAGGAGTAGCAGTTGCTCGCAAGGTGTCTTTCAAAAGGACATGGAGTTAGGAGTGGGCAGGTGTGCAAGGCCAGGTTGGACAGGGCTTGGACCATCCTGCTCTAGTGAAAGGCCTGTGCTAGGGGGTTGGAACTGGATGAGCTTTGAGGTCCCTTCCACCACAAACCATACTCTGATTCTGTGACTCTATGGTTGCTGATCAGATATTAAAGACCCACGCAGATGTCTGTAAGTGCCCTACATGAAACATACATGACTGTCTATCTTCATCTGTTAATCTAGCTTGAAAGCATCTTCTTCTAGTGTTCATTTGAGAGCTTTTCAGAGGTTATGAGCAAGAGGTCTGTTTCTGTGCATGACCTTCTCCTGAGCTGTTTGAAAACTTCCATTAAGTTAAATCTATGTTGTAAATGATTGATGTGGTGACAGTGCAGGGGATGGATCTGGCTGCTCTTTGGGGGGGCAGGTTCTCAGTAAGGTCAAAACTTTCCAACCAGACTTGAAAATAAGTTTGCAGAAACTGCATGTGAAAGAAAGTGATGAAGAGCCGTAAATGTCCTGGAGGCACAAATTGTATCCCAAAGGCACCTGGATAAGACTTATAACTGGATATAAAACTCATAAACTTTTATGGTGAGAGATTATCACCAACATAAAACCCCAGCAGTTTACAACTGGAGAAGGACCTGGACCCACAGAGTTCGTGGACTGTCTCAGTCATGAACTGAACTGACACTGGCCATGAACTCATGAGTTCATGAATTAGAAACACGTTGTGAGTTCATGTTATCTGAGGTACAACGGTGAACTGTTGTTTTGCAACTTAGTTTTATATCTGATAGGATAAGAAGTTAGGTGGGAGGGATACGTACAGATGGGGGAAGGTGTTCTGTTGGCTACTTAGCATCCAAACAATACATGTTTGCATCAATGAAAAACAGAAGTCATTTTCTTCAGTTGTACCAACTGGTTTGGCTTATTAAAAAGAAAAAAGGCAAAACATAGAACTAAGGTACTTTAACATTGCTTTCTCATCTTTATTTATCTTTCCTGCAAGTTATGTTTCACTGTAAAACCTTCATTAGAAAACAAAATACTTAAAAAATACCAAATTACTACACTTGTTGACAACTCTGTGAGGCTTCAGCCTTCAGTGTCAGCCATCTCTTTCTTTCAGAACAGAAGAGATTGGAGAACTTGATTACTAGTGGGAAAAGAGTCATTTTAGTGTGCTTTTTGTACACCCACTACTACCATATAGGGTCAGCAGGGTTTCTGGGCATCCACTCTGTATGCATTTCTTTCATGGATCCCCATGCACCTGAGAGCATGTTGTCAGTACATGTTAGCAAAAATTTCTGGGTTGCTAAAGGTAAGAAGTGTCATAAGGCACTGTGAGAAGAGAAGGCTGAGGAATAGAGCTGTTGTTTCAGCTTGCCTGAGCCAAGTGTACAATAAGGGACGCCTTTCTTGTGCTTGTACATTTTGAAGTGCAAACATCACCTCATCTTTTACAATCATTACTCACTGATCGTGGCTTCATTGCATGTGAACTTGCGAGCACCTGAAATGCAGAGGCAAGTTGAAAGGGCAGAGGTATGATAAGAGTGCCAGGTGGGGTGTTTGCAAGGGTGGAGCACAGCTACAAAAGCTTGTGAACCCCCGCTGGGCTCTCTAATGTGTGGGTTCCTATCCATCCAACCTGCAACATGCTGGTGGCAGTGCTGCTTGTCTTCTTGTGCTGCCTGAGTTCTGCCACTGCTGGGAAGCTGCTGGTAATCCCTATGGAGGGCAGCCACTGGCTCAGTATGAAGGAAGTGCTGGCTGAGCTGAACAAGAAAGGGCATGAAATAGTTGTTATTGCACCAGAGAGCAAAATGCTGATTGATTCCTCGGGGATATATGAAATGAAAAGTTATCCTGTACCTTTCAAAACGGAAGAGATGCAAGAACTTTTGCACTCCCTTACTGCAAATGTTTTTAGTGACAACTCTTTCCTGACCAGGTTTATGAATACTTGGAATAACTTCAAACAGAGCTCTGCCATGTTTCAAGCTTCCTGCAGTTCCTTACTGTACAACAAAGAGATGATGAAATACATTGAAGAAAGTAAATTTGATGTTGTCTTTACAGATCCTCTGACACCCTGTGGACAGATAATTGCCTTGAAATTTTCTATCCCTACTGTTTTCTTCTTGCGGGGCATCCCATGTGCTATAGACATTCACGCTGCTCAGGCACCGGACCCACCATCCTATGTCCCACGCATATTCTCAGTCAATACAGACCACATGACGTTCTCTCAGAGAGTGAAGAACTTCCTGATAACCCTTTCAGAGCCTTTCACCTGCAGTATGGCCTTCTCAGGATTTGAAACCCTGGCCTCAGACTTCCTCCAAAAGCCAATGACAATTACGCAGCTTTTAAGTCATGGGTCCATTTGGCTGAAAAGACTTGACTTTGTCTTTGACTATCCTATGCCTATAATGCCCAATATGATTTTCATTGGAGGCATAAACTGTGGCCAGAAGAAACCATTATCTCAGGTCAGTAACTGGCTGGTAACAAGGGAAAAGATGTGGCAGTCATTCACCTGCATGATCTGAGTGAGGGTTAATGATGTGTTTGATAAGAATGTTTCTTACCTAAAGACATAATTTAGAGCAACACTTTATAGCAAATCTACACGAAAAACAGACCAGGAGAGCAGAATGGGATTCCACCTCCTTTCCTTAGGTCTGCTCAGCATGGAGATTTTGTTCAGCAAGGGAATCACATGCTATGTTGTGTTTAATTCCAGCTGAAGTCAGGTACAGTAGCTGAAGTCAAAGGCTAATATGTTGTGGTGAAGGTTGTTCTAACAGATTCCGTCACAAAACCTAGACAGCTGAATTCTCAACTGCATTTTTAGGAGATGCCCAGTTTGGATAGGGAAACGTTGCTGGGTGGTTGCTTAGGCATTTAAATGTACACATGTGATGCATGTTAGCTTGGTGGTGCTCATGGTGTGTGTTAGACTCTTGCTGCATGTGATGCCTGTTCTTGCTTGTGCTCTAAGTAAAACAGCCTCATGTGAAGCCAGAGATTAAGTGGGAAAGAAGATGTAGGAGGAGACAGCTCTCCTCAGCAAAGGAGGACTCTGAAGTTAGTGTCACCCAGCAGTTTCAGCAATAAATCACATTGTTTCCTTGAAAGGATAAAGTTTTATCCTTTGTGATTGTTACTTAAAAATAGACAGTCTCTCCTCTTTTCTTCCCTGGGACTCCTTTCACTTGCCAGCCTTCCCTGAGTCTTGGGGAATGGATTCCTCCTGCTTAACACCACCCTTACTCTTCCCCCAAATTCACAGGCCTTTGTGAAGAGGAATGAGCAAAGAACAGATTTGCATTTCACAAGCCTGGCACATCTTGCCATCAACCCCCCACATGGCCACTTTCATCAGGGCAGTGCTTTTTTCTGTCTGTTCTCTCCATCAGAGCTGCTTAATGGCTCCTCAGGGACAAACCCGGGCAGAAGCTCTGGGAAGGCAGAATCCTGCCCTCAGGCAAGGGCATGTAGCAGCTCCAGCTTCAAATCAGCCTCTCCTCTAAAGACAAAACTCACTCTCACTTTCGTCTTGCTCAGGAACTAAAGACCATAGTCCAGGAACAATAATTAATTGCAGAAGTATTGGTTCTTCAGTCCCGGTTTCTTCTTGTCTTCTGACTGTGCCTCTGAATCACACAGTAACATCACAGGGCAGAAGGAAAATCCTGTGGCTCGACAAGTTTATCACAAGTACTTGTTAACTACTCAGACATGGGATCTTACTTTTAGCTTCTCATCTGAAGTAGTATCAGCAACTCTTGCCATTTAAAATCAGTTCCTGGCCTGGAACAAGAGGGCTGTTCCTGGCTACTTCTGTCCAATCTGTCCTGTATTTAATGAGGTACAAGGGGAACAGAGTGGCTTTTCCTTCCTATTGCTCCTGGAAGAAGATAATAAATGATCCAGAGATGAGTCAGGATGATA